CAGAACATCATCAGAAATGTTCAGGTTGTTCCTTGTTACTCAAAGTGTGGTCCTTTGAGCAGCCAGCATCCACATTACCCTGGGAGTTCTTAGAAATCAGGAATCTCAGACCTCACGCAGACAGAGCTCTTGAGAAGTTACATTTTAATCCAGGTGCCTTGGAGATTTTCATACAGATTATAGCTTAGAAGCATTGTTTTGTGAGTCTTGGGGTCTTTGTGATCAAACTTCACTTGGATGCACAGGAGCCTTCAAGGTCCTGGAACGTTCACCCATGTGTTTATAAATCAAACACGACTAGAGTGCTGGTGGACTCCATAGTGATCAGAATTAATCTTTCCAACTGTGCCCCCGATTGACATGTACAGGATGGTCACTACGTGGGTTCCAGGTCTTACTATATATCTCCCTTCAGGATGAGCCCCTTTTGAAATAATTCATTTCATAGATTTGTTTTAGGTTTTTGTGTAAGAGTGTATCTGCACAGAAGGGTTCCTATTTTAAAAAAGAGGGTTGGAAAGCCAGTACCTTGTGGTGTTTTATTAGTGAACCCCACCTTCTGCCTTGCCCAGCACTTTGCATTTTGTTATAGATTGTGTGAGAAATGTGGTCCATGTTTACAAAGGGTGTATAATCTAGATGTAAACTCAAGACTAATATACATGAAAAGTAGTCAAACCACTAAATAGATTATACTATGATATGTTCTGAGAATATACCCAGACCCCAGGTGGAATCTGGAAGCTCGCTGAAACAGTCCCTCACCGAACAATGTGCCAGAAAAATCTGTGCCTTTAAACATGAGAATCACTTAGGTCTTTGCTGAGAGTGCGTGGAGTCTTCTTTTTGGCTCTACTTGGATGTAGGGTCTCCTCAGTCCTCAGCTCTAAAAGGAAAAATGGAAGTTGGTGGCAAGCTCTGGGCAATAGCATAATGTATCAGCTGAAAGCACAGTATTATAAAAAGATTTTTTTAAAAAAAGTAGTTGGGTGCCGGAGCCTGTGCTCCGCAACGGGAGAGGCCACAACAGTGAGAGGCCCGCATGCCGCAAAAAAAAAAAAAAAAAAAAAGTAGTTGGGTGGAGGTTGGAGTGCAACTTCACTAGCCTTAAGCAGCCCCAAAGGCTATTGCCATGTTTAAAAACAGTCTAACTGTTAATGGTCAAAATAAAAAAGGTTAGTTTTGTTACTTAAAAGGGTAATTAGTAATTCGAAAATTTAACTGTACAATTCCCCCAACTAATTTTAGAAAGCAAGTCTCTTGTTGGACATGTGGCGCTTGTTCTAGTCTAGGCTTTTGGGTTGCTAGGGGCAGAATCTACACAAGTTAGTTCAGATGAGGAGACCTTGATCGAAAGGAAATGGACATCTCCTGGAGCTGGAACGATGCTGAGTTTCCTGTAACTGAAGCTGGGAACTGGGGTCCTCATGGGAGCTGGGGCCATTGTCACAGGGCTCGTGCCCAAAGCCACTTTGCCTCTGATCTTTGCTGGGTATGGTGAGGCTGGTCCACTTTCCTGGCTTCTCTCCTGGCCTTGTGTTGCTTGAGGAGGGGAAATCGGAATGACTAGGTGGCTAGTCAGTGAGTTGGCTTCCCCTGGGGAGAGAAAAAATTAAAATTGCGCGTAATACATTATAGACTTGTTCAAGTTGTTTTCTACTTCTGACTTGCCAAGTGTGCCACACTGAATATCTTTGATGCACTCATTAACTCCTGGGTATATGTTCCTAGAAATGGAATTTCTGGGTCAGAAGAGGTACACGCTTAGAGTTTATACATACTGCTCTTTGGTCCCCAGTATCTTCCTGTGTAGTACCGGTGGGAGCCATGTGGATATTCATTATACCCACATCTAAAATGTGACCTGGCCTCCAGAATTTATCGTGATTGTTGGCTCTGTGATTGGATATGCAAGATGGGAGAGGTGGTGGTACTACTTTACCCTAAGGTAATCCAGCAGTACCTGGGGTATTAATTTTAATACTGGGCACAAGGCATTAACTGAGACTGTCCATCTGAGTCTGGACAAGAGGCAGCGGCCAAGATAGGACACCGAGCCTTATGAGGGATCATTGAGGCCCCAAGGAGTAGTTGCTGGAAAGGATATGATTCACTTCATTCAAGTATTTGAAAGGCTGTCATATCAAGAGAAATTAGGTTCCCTTTGTGTGGCTATAAGGGCAGAAGAAGCGGCAGAGGTTGGATGTTCTAGGAAGGCAAGATTCGGTTTGATGTGAGAAAGCCGTCTAACAGAACTGTCTGAAAATGCATTGGGTTCCCCATGTTCACGTGAACTGCCCTTCCCTCTACCTCCCTAGAGATAACTCCAGCAGGGGCCATGTGTCATGTGGGTGAAGAGTCATGGCATGTGTGTGAAGTGAATTCATCATTAGGATTTCATTTGGAGAGTTTTGAGAAAAGTTTAATACTATGAGGCCATGAACTTGGAATCACACCTCTGGTTACAACAGCCTATTTCAGAGCCAGGTGAAATATTCTGCAAACACCATTCGTTCTCTTAATATTTCTTAGTGCAAAGAAGTAACTGTTGAGGACTTCCGTGGTGGAGCAGTGGTTAAGAATCCACATGCCAATGCAGGAGGCATGGGTTCGATCCCTGGTTTGGGAAGATTCCACATGCCGTGGAGCGACTGAGCCCATGTGCCACAACTACTGAGCCTGCGTGCTGCAAGTACTGAAGCCCGCGCGCCTAGAGGCTGTGCTCCGCAAGAAGATAAGCCACTGCAAAGAGAAGCCCCCGCATCACAACGAAGAGTAGCCCCCGCTCACCGCAACTAGAGAAAGCCCGTGCGCAGCAATGAAGACCCAAGGCAGCAACCACCCCGCCCCCCCCCCCCCGCCCCCCCGGCCAAATAAATAAATAAATAAATAAGAAGAAGAAGTAGTAGTAGTAACTATCGAACTTTTTGATCTCACATTTTCTATACCTAGCTCATTGGTGAATAAGAGTTTCGTTTTTTGGTGATCTCTGACATTCTGTTCAGTTTGCTATGAGGGGAGATGGGTTTTTCTCATTGTTTTTGCTTTGCTTGTATTTTATACTCTTTGCCAACCCTGGGTCTCTCAGACCTTAGGACTCCCACATCTGGTGAATGGTAAAGGGGTGGTTGACACATACTGTTCATCCCTGAGTAGCCAATATCTCTTTTAACACTTTCTAAGACAAATTATACTTGTTTCCAAATTCTGCCTACGTTAAAAAGTTGTATTTTTCCATTGAAGAAGTCACAAGAACTTAAAGGATGTCTTTAACATTTTTTGTCGTGTATATTCCTTATTTGGGCATTGCTGCTTTGAAAAGGTAAAAAATAACTAAATGAGAATATGTGGGGAAATTGCGCATCTGATTTTAATGTTCCTAAAGCAGAATTGATTAAATGATTCCCATCTTCTTGCCCCTCGAAGTGTGATCTGGGAAATAGTTTAAAGGGGGGGTCACCTGACAGCTGGGAAGAAATGCAGACTCTCTAGCTCCCCCAACACTCCTGAATCAGCAAGTGCATTTTAACAGGTGGACATCGCTCCAGTGTCTGGTAGACTTTCCGAGGTGACATGATGCTGCAGGACCTGGGGGGAATAGTCAGTATCTCTCCTTGGTGGTTGAGCACCTGTTAACTCACCGGGCATTGTGACTGGGTTCTTCACCTGCATGAGCCCATTTAATCCTGAGAATCACCTTCTAAAGCAAGCATTCCTAGAGGCTCCGAAAATTTGTCCCTGGTCCTCCAAACGTGTCACTAAACGACGGTTTCTGGAGTCTGTATTTCCTAAGCCTGAGACAGGAGAATTGAGGCCCAGCCGGTAACGGCCTGGCCTGGCCGAGGGCGAAAGCCTCCGATGTCTACAGCCCCCGGCTTGGCCGCACCCTGTGCTTCCGGTGAGCCAGGCGCCCTGCGGAGGACAGCAGGGCTGGCTCATCCCGGCAGCGGAAACTCAGCGCCCAGCCTCTGCTCATTCAGTGTCCAGCTGTGGCTTGGTGTGAAGGGCCTCGGGAGAAAGTCACCTCTGACAGGGGTCAGGAAGAGCACCTAGAGGCCCCACATCTCACCTGCAGGCTGGCTTCCTGGAGCCTCAGTTATGAAAGAAGTTCAGGGGCCTAGATAACACATTTCTCAGGAGCTGCTACACCAGAATAGGCTGTGTGCGTGCCTGCGTGTGTTGTTACTTCAGTGCCTTTGGATTTAATCATTAAAAAGACCAGATATTTATTACAAATTAGTTCTCATCTTCCAGTCCTGCAGCCTTCAGAGTATACTGTTTTGGTGAATTTTGAGAAGGAAAATAAAAGCAATAAGAAATGATCTTTTAGTCGTCAAGTAATATTTGTTTTCCTGCTTCCATCCCTCTGGTCTTGTTGGATGCTTAAGCATGAGTCGTGTGTTCTTCACACTTGGTGCGCCTCTGAAAACAACAACTTATTACCCTGGTAGTAAATGCACAACTTGGAAATTGGAAGAATCCCAAATTTCCCAAGATGTAAGGTGCTATGCACCATCCTGGGGATTAAAAAATTGCAGACAGGTTGTAATTAGTTTTCTTTTTTTTTAAAGTATCACTTAGCAACATTAATTCTGATAAATCAAAGTTAGTGTAACAATTAGGAGTAATTTATGAATTTTAAATTGTTTACCACCTCTAGCACTTGAAGTCTTAAATAGGATGGATGTAAAAGGACAAAACATTCTAAAATCCACCAACCCTTCCTGATACTTCCACAAGACCCGCTTCTCCCCTCCCCACCCCCGTTTAAAAATAACGGCCAAAAATTTCAACTGCCCACTCACTGCCATTGGTATTTTAATATCTCTTTAGGTAACGTCTATTTTTTTCTTTACCACTGACATTGGCTTATTTCATATGAATCTATAATATATTAAATACATATGCATTTAAAATATTGTTTTAATTTGTCCATGAATTGTTTCTCTTAAAGGGCCTGTCTGGGGAAATGAGTAATTTCTCATATCCTGTTCTTGCAGGAAGAATTTTGAATCGTTTCTCCAAAGACATTGGGCATATGGATGACTTGCTGCCCCTGACATTTCTTGATTTCATCCAGGTAACGTAACAGTCATGTCAGAGTTCTCACAGCACAAAGCAAAGTGCCTGTTTTTCAAGGCCTTTTCACAGGGGCTGAGATGGGCCTTTCAGCCTGACTGTGTTATCTTAATTAAGTAAAAGGCCACGTTTGTAAGAGAAAGGTGTGGTTGTGATCGGGAGGCTGAGTTAACATGAGTGACACCTGCTGTAGGAGTGGCTACACAGTCACGGTCAAGGTTGGTTCGAAGCAGCGACATGCTTGGTAAGTGGTTCTCCCGCTGCCGTTCAGCTCTCTGGCGTGGATTTCCTTTACTGTGAGCACATTTCACAACAGAGAATCACCTCTCATGGTAGCCTAGATTAACTAAATTATGCATCGGATTACCACAAAAGACAAATACTTACTGCACCGTTTTTTTTGTGTGTGTGTATAAAGCCAGGTGTGGTTACCTACAAAGAAAAGATTAGTAATAATAAGGTGAAAATAATCCTTTAACAAGGACAATAGAGAGCGGTTATGGGAGATACAAAGCCTTTAAAAGCAAGTACCTTTAAGCCAATAATTTGAGTAAGGGATCAGAGTCATCTCAGAAAATGTCTTTTTTGTTTTTGTAGACAGCTTTTCTTTTAACACATTGATTGCTGTGTCTTAAGGTGTCTTTAAAAAAACAAACCTTCAATCCCACAGAAATACCTTCTACACAGCCTTTGTTTTGTCTGTGGACTTGGAAGTTCTAAAGAATGATGTTAGGTCATCTGAGCTCTAATCTCATTTAGTATTGTGCGTTTGGGATGTTTTTATCTGTTGTTTAATTCTGTCTACTTTGAAGTGATTCAGGCTGAGGGGACTTTCTGTTTCATTTCCAAGGGTTTTGGACATCAAAAACATTTATCAGGACTTCCCTGGTGGCGCAGTGGTTGGGAGTCCGCCTGCCGATGCAGGGGACACGGGTTCGTGCCCCAGTCCGGGAGGATCCCACATGCCGCGGAGCGGCTGGGCCCGTGAGCCATGGCCGCTGAGCCTGCGTGTCCGGAGCCTGTGCTCCGTGGCGGGAGGGGCCACAGCGGTGAGAGGCCCACCTACCAAAAAACAAACAAACAAACCAACCAAAAAAACACATTTATCAAAAGGTGTACATTTTCTAAAATCCCAGCTGCTGCTGCTAATATTGATACTTCCTAAGTTGGAAGCCTTTTCACATTCCCTAAGTGCCAGTTAACACGAGCCCATTTTAAGACCAGGAAGGAGGAATGCTGCAGTTAGGGTGTGCAGTCATGGCTTGATACTGATGCTCCCCATACCCCCATTTTTTATTTCAATGCTCAAGTGCTCTTTAAGTCAAAACGTAGGGTCTCTCCTGGAGCCTTTTTTTTTTTTTTTGCAGTACGCGGGCCTCTCACTGTCGCGGCCTCTCCCGTTGCAGAGCACAGGCTCCGGACGCGCAGGCTCAGCGGCCATGGCTCACGGGCCCAGCCGCTCCGCGGCATGTGGGATCTTCCCGGACCGGGGCGCACGAACCCGCGTCCCCTGCATCGGCAGGCGGACTCTCAACCACTGCGCCACCAGGGAAGCCCCCTGGAGCCATTTTTATAAAAGGAGCCACAAATACTTAATTTGGAAAATTAACTGTGTCAGAAATATCAATAATAGGCCTGAGATTATTCTAGCCATTCCTGTTAGTCACAAAGAAATGCGCCAATGAATGTAGCCTATGGTCAGAGGCCTCCACTGTTTACCAATGTGAGGTAAGCTGTGATTTAGAGGCAGAGTCTTACTGTTCTTTTTAACCTGAGGGACAAGGGTCTAACTTAATCTTGGTGAAACGTAAGTACCAGTAGTTCCAATTAGCTGATTTCTTGAATCTAATTGCAATAGTAAATCTCAATATTATTGTCTTCAAGAAAGGAGTTTTTTATAAAGGATGACTCGGTTATCAATTATGATAAAGATCTATTGTCACTTGTTTTGTTTGCAGGTGTCTCTAAGAAGGCTCCCATAATCCCTTCAGGAAGAAATATTTTCTCCTTTATAAGATGGTATTAGTTAAATATAAAAGCCCTGATCCCTGCCATTGTTGTTGATTCTTTGAGAGACGTTTCCCAACATTCATTGTTTAAATGGTTATCAGGAGGAGTCAGGTGAAACTTAATAAACAGTGCAGTAACTGATTCATCTTTGTGTGCAGGAGCCTTTCTCCAGAGGCTTTGCATTCAATGAGTGGGGTTTTGACGAGGTATCACTGGGATCATTTTGAAGTATTTGGACCTGTTGCTATATTAGCAAGCAAAGATTTTTATTAAAGCCACAAAAATGAAGTCGACCTGCCCTCAAAGAAAGGCCAACAAAAATCAAAATGTAAATTGATTTTTTTTTTTCTCTTTTTTTGAATTTGGATAGGACACTGTAAAGATGAAAAGAACCCAGTGGTGATCTGGGACTCTTAATGGAATCATGTAAACTTAAAATAAACACTATTATGGTAAGCACATAGAATGAAAACTAATTTTCCAAATCAAATACATTATATTCAATTCATTTTCCCCAATCAACCAAATGTTTAAAACCTGTTAGTTATAACAGCGATCTTCTGGAAATTAATTAGAAGCCTATTAGCTCTGCTAGCTGAGCTGAACCGAATGAAGAGGGTTGCTCGTTACATTTCTAAATAGGCTCCTGAATTAAAGCAAAGGAAGGTCAAAATGACAATCAGCTTGACTCACCTTATGGCTTTGCTTAAGAGGTGGATCTATTTTTTTTTTTTAAGGAGTTAATTTTTTTTTAAGGAAATTTTATCCACTTGGACTCAATCCTCTAACTTAAAAAGTCAGGATAAAAGGTATCCTGAATATTATCTTTGTTAACAGTAACGCCCTCACAAGTGCATAGGAATCTGAAATGGAAGTGACATTTAGGTCTCTTGTCTGGCCCATCAGCTTCTCTGAAGAGTTTTGTCATCCCCTTTCAGAACTGAGATAGAAAATTTCTTGTGTGCCTTTGATTTTAATGTCATTAGCAAAACGGGCTGCTGACATCAGGAGACCCTGGGTTTTAATGTCTCTCCTCTGATTCTTAGGGTCAGAATCCTAATGACTAGCAGATCTTCCTCTGCTCAGGGAAGTTCACAGAACGTGAGTCCTTCTAAACCCAACAGCTGACTTTAGAAAGGGTTGGGAAATTCCGTATCAAGAAGTTAACCTTGGTTTGATCTTGTGGTCCTTCCTGATCTACATGTCATCTCTTATTCTTGAGCCAGAAAGAACTTGGCAGGATTTATAGTAACAAATAGAATACAAATCAAAATTCAAAGCTTAGCTATCTTTCCACTTTGCAGAGTATTAAAACCAACACTGACATGTTTAATGTTTGTTTCTTACTGAAGATAAGCATGTGATAATACTTTTCAGGAGAATTAAAATCAAGCAGGTACAGAAATAATGTAATTACACTTATCTGTGGTAACTTTTTAATCCGTAGCATGCATGTTGCATTACTTTATCTGTAAGAAAGACAATGATAATTTTGTTGGTTTTGTAAGTAAGAGTTCAGAAATATGGACCATTGGCCTAGAACATAATTGTGTCTCCAGTTAAGTCTGAGGCTGATGAATTGAAGAAAGGGAACTGAGACAGAGCCCTCATAATGGGGGAGGGGGTATACTCCCATGAAGGCAGTCAGAAGTCAGATTTTATTATTCCACTAACACAGTGACTGAGATGAGAAAATTCTGTTTAAAATGTGAGCAAGTTTGCTGGCCACATGGAAGGTATTTACTTAACTTTGTCCCTTGGACTTCAACAAATGATTCGTATTTGTGTGAACATTTGTGGGGTTTTGTTTGCTTTTTGTTTTGTTTTTGGTTTCATTTAGTGATTCATATCCATGCTGATGGGAAACAGTGACACAGCTCATTTTGAAATGAGTGTAATTTACTATTGTGCAACATTCCAGTGAGAATTCCAGAGGAACAGTGGGGTTAATGTGTGGGATATGGGAACCTGAGCTGACACAGGCATGGAACACGAGTGAATGAAGAGAGACCAATTTTTGACTGACGAGACATTTTGGAAGGGTAGGCCAGAAATGAGGGAAGTTTTTTAAATATAGGAAATAAGTATTTTATACAAAATAACAACAGTCTGCAGGTTATCTCAGCGTTGCCTTGGGCTTTTTAGATAAGTTAGCCAGTGGCTGGCAGTGCACATCTGGCTTATTAAAGTGTTGTTCAGACACATTTTGTTTGTTTGCTTTTTCAAAAATCGTAACAGCTTTGAGTATTAACAGTGTTTTAAAAACCAAGTCATCTATCAATCCCGAACATGGTTCTTCACTCATGAAAACTAAATATCTTTATGAAAATAGGGATTGAAATACAAAGTATAAAGGCCATATAAACCTCGTATGTGAGAAATCAATGAGGGAGAATCCTTTGAATAGGACTTTGGCCTTCGAAACATAATGTATTTGAATAAACATAAACAAACAAACAAAATGTGGTCACTTAAAATTCACATTCTTAAGTGTATGACTTGACTTCCTAATACCACAGCATAAATAACAACAACATAAATATAGCCTCTCACTTTCTTAAAACAGTGATTGATTTAATTAATAATGGTACCATACATACATAATATTTATGTTTCAGTAGTATTTAAAATTTAATTTTATTAAGGATTAAATTCTTAATAATCATTTTAATAATGCAGTAAATTTGTAATATTTGATGGCCAGTTGTATGGTTTTGTGAATGTATTTGCAACTAGAAATATAATGGGAAATCTTGAAGTTTCTCTCAAACGAATTATTTCCATTGCATATTTGTGATGTGTGGATTTGTAATTCGTTCAATATTTCTCTTTCCCACAACATGTCTTCATTTTTGGATTGTTTGCAGCAGTGTTTTATCGAGCTTCTATTATGTGCTAGGGATGTGGGGATGAAAAAGGTAAACCCTTTGTCTTCGTTCATTGGACAAGCATTCATTTGAGTGTGTTGCGTGTGCTAGGCACCATGCAGGG